ATAGTTCCGAAAGATCCCTATGAGCTAGCAGGCTGAAATTGTTCGAGTACACTTGTGTAGATATGAGAATGCTAGATATAAGATATCGGTTCTGGAAATTATTTATTAGTCGTTTATTAGTGTTTTATTTGTTTGTTAAAAGCTGAGTTTGAGGGATTTGTTTCTTAGCGATAAGCTCACTAAACAATCTTTGCCGGGATAAATTTGTCTAATTGCTTTAATCAGTCCTGAGAACGGAGGTCCTCAGGAAAGTTAAAGGTTCATTTGATGCACTTTTCGCTAAAGATACTTGCAGAGATGATAGTAGAGTTGCTCTGAAGAACGCTGCCTCTTTGCAACCTGAATTATAAAGGTCTTCACTGGGACTGAATCATTTGGATGTTAGCATCGGTTTCTTTGTAAACAAACTCGATGCTATGATTTACTTTAAGATGATTGTATTCCTTATGTTCAAGTATGTCAGTCTTTTTGGGCTTAGATTAGGTTATGTTAGGTTAGATTATTTGAATTGCTAATTTTATTTGTGCTATGGTTTACTTTAAGATAATTGTATTCCTTATATTCAAGTATGTCATAGGTTTTTCAGGATTAGGTTAGGTTATGTTAGATCGTTTGAATTGCTAACTTTATTTATTTAATAACTTTTTATTTTTCATAAACTCATGAAAATGTCACTTCCCACATAGCATTAGATCTCTAAAGTATATTCTAATTTGATCAAAATGATCCTATTACGATCCAAATGAAAAAGTTATCTATAGGGGTACCTGAGGACATGTGCATTAGCCACAAATTACGCAAGATATCCGCATAACCGTAGGTATCCGATTTTGATATCCGTAGGATGTTCTGGTGCGTTAGTTGATGTTTACTGAAGAACAGCGATACACTGTTTTTTTATGGTGCAATATTTATTTGATATTATGATCAATTCATATATAGTAATTAGTTTTTGTTTTTATTAATTGGATATTTAACATGTATTGTTTATGTCTGAACAATTGATATCCAGAAAGTACAAATAATACAATAAGAAGTTAGTCTATATATTATTTATGTCTTATAATTTTTTATAATAACGTAATACTTAGATAAATCACTTATATCTATAATCTAATAGTCTAATATTTACTAAATATTTTATATTTTTATGATACGTTTTTTTTTATTTTAAGAAATGCTATATATTGTGTGATGCTTATATACAGGGTGTTTCATTTTAAGTGATATGATGCAACTCAAACAAACATTGTATTACACGTTTCTCAAATAATAAGAAGTAAACTTTTTTATGCATACAGATACACGCACATATTATTATTATATTTTCCAGTACATATTTTGTATATTACATTTCACAACAGTGTGGGCATTTTGTTCTTGGTGCTTTAGAATGCAGCTAATGATTTAGCATAAGAAAACGTTTCAGAAAAAGTAGTTTTCTCATTGGATGATAGGCTGCATTTCAAACTGCATCGAAACATATGTTCAAACCATTACGAAATTTATTTCTCTGGCCCGATTATTTTAACCGAAAAGTAAGTTAACGAACAGTTAAATCATATATATCTGTCTCCGTTTATTTCGAACAAATAAAGATAGGCATATGATTTAATTGTTCGTCAACCTACCTTTCAGTTGGAACAATCGGGCCTATTTCGGTATTGCAAGGATGACTTTGGGATATATAGAATTCATCGCGATATATCTTGTGAATGTCCTTAGCATCACTTTTGGTACTTGGAAGATATCTTACGGATATTAATAGGATCACATATTGTTATGTGTACATATCCTTATGACATCCACATATCACTTCTTCTGGATGTTTAATGAGCGGACATAGAGACGTCCTCGGTACATCCTATGTATATATTTTGGCCTTTTACGAATGTATCCTGGATATCACTAAATCCTTTGTGATACATCTATTGGGCATATTTAGGATCAAGTTTTGCTGTGTTAAATTCTTAAAATGTTAATGTTAAAGTAAAAAAGTGTGTCTAATGATTAGGAAGCAAAACTCGTTAAATTCGGCTTCTGTTTAATTGCTGAGACTAATATTTTATACTTACCTTTCTATATTTAGAAAAGTGTGCTACAAAAAGTTTCACTCGCCAGCTCATAGGAATCTTTCGGAAGTAAATATATCCCTGTTATGCATCGCCGACGTGGCTTTCATTGAAAAAGTTAAGTGAGTAATAAACGATCGAAGTTGATGTGCCAACCGCAGCTGAAACGAGAAGCCGAACAAGATAGCGAGCTTTCACATGCCACGGCTCGTCGCAACAATACGTACGTACGACGCGTATCAACTTTGTTGAGTTTGTCAGAAGTATTGCGTTGAAACTCTGACAAAGTTTGAAAATGGAATACACTAAAGTGGTTACCGCTAATACGGCCGTAAGTTTCGAACGTTGATGCTGGCGCGACGCGTGCAGATATGAACGATATAACGTGTGAGAAACACAAACGCGAAGACTCAAATATCGAAGCGCAACAACGACGACGACGACGACGACGACGTTGTTTTCAAAAACGGTGTCCCACTTTGTCGCCGACGATGGGATTCGTAAATCCGTCATCATCTCACGAATCCTGCTCTTTCGAGCTGCGTCGCGAAGAATATGTCGTTCGCTAACTGCCGTTGCCGCCATTCGTCGTTCGTCGTTCGCCGTCGACGATATTTGGCTCGTCCGACCGAACTCCAAAACTTCCGGTCGATGTCCCTTGGCGGGTATCTCGTGACTAAACGACTGCGAATTGACGTAGCGATAAGTTTCCATACAAGACGTCGATGGGTTTGACACCGTCCACGGCATCACGGCTGCTGCCAAGGAAGGCAAGGAAATATAAGTTGCGATCGATACTCGGAAAGGGCGAAATAGATTTTCTGACCGTTATCGCGGCTGCACTGAAGCAAGGCGAGACGAGGCGAGGCGCGGTGAGAAACGTCGTGTCGCATCGTGACCGAGAGAATCTCGCGCCGAGACGGACTTGCTTTTTCGACGGGAAGGATTCTCTAATTTACCACCGACGACGGAGGACGGGACTAATTGCAAGAAGGGCGGGGTGCAGCGAGTAGATGTCATAAATCCCGTACCCTGTTCGCCTTTGTAACGGCGTGTTTGCCGTTATAGCTTAATTCGCGATTATTCGGCCGCCATTGTCGCCGGTGTCAACTGCTGAGCTCTCGCGGCTACAATGGAGAAAAGTGCGAGATTTGTGTCGGTTATGACGATGACGTCATCATTATTAAAGACGATTGTACGGCTATGAGAGAAAGAGGGAGGGTAGAAAAGAGGGAGAGAGGGAGAGAGACAGAGAGAGAGAGAGAGAGAGAGAGAGAGAGAGAGGAGAGAGAGAGAGAGAGAGAGAGAGAGAGAGAGAGAGAGAGAGAGAGAGAGAGACTGGGAGGGAGAGGGACAGAGAGGGGGAGGGGGGAGCTAGTCGAGGTATCGGCTCGACTGATACGCACATGTCAGTCTATGGTTAACATCCTTCCTCCTGCAGGAAATGTCCTAGTCAGAGCGTAGAATGTTATTCCTGTGGAATCGGTGAGTTTTTTCTAAGACCTGTCATATCGATTCGTCGCCGGGCACGCTGTTGTGCTTGTGACAGTTTAGGAGTGAGACCCGCGTAGGTCTGCTTTCCTGCGTGGTAGGGAATCCCGCTGAGGAGAGAAGGGAAAGCTAGGTTAGGGAAGGGAAGGCCGTGCGACTGCGAATCTCTCTTCTCGGTGTCCGTTCTAGTTCGATTGCTGAATGCCTACTTCGATTTGCGAAAACGACCTCGTCGTCGTTGTCGTCGTCGTTGTCGTCATCGTCGTCTACCTTGAGAATCCTACTAGTCTATTTATGTGGGTCCCAAAGAAACGAAAGTAGACCGAACCGTGCCCGCATCCCTTGGCGCGCGATAATTCAGCCACTAAGTTTTAGGAGGTTATAGGGGGTGAAGGGGAGCGGTACGTCTCGCTCGTAAAAATTAAACTCAAACTCGCCGTTAACGTTCTATAATACGGGGAGGAAAGCGCAAAGCGTGGAACGCGCGCGACTTCAGCGGAACTTCGTCGCCGTATCTCTTTCCACCGTTGCAAATAGGTCAGGATCCATTTTGTCGCGTTTCAATTATGCGATAGCGGGCGAACTTTCCAGTCTACTCGATGGCCGGCAGCCGAGTGCGATAAAATACTCGGCATAATCGAGCGATATTCATCCTTTAAGTGACGACGGCACGACGAAGTTGCGTCGCTCCGCCTCTCCCCTCCCCCCCTTTCCGTTGCTATTCCCTCCATCCTTCCTGCCGCGTGATATTTGAGACAGATTGTCCACTTCCGTCTCTCTGGGCTGGTTCCTACTACCAACATCACCATTGCCAGCTCCGCGCCATCGCGGTCGCAAACTTTCGCCGGTGCGCGCGACTCGCTAGAGATGCACTCTCTCCTGACTTGATTTTGCGCGCATATCCTCCTCAAACAATTCTCAAGCAAGATGAACACACTCTTCGCCATCCATTTGTTCCGCCGGCGCGAGCCGCCTAACGCGTGTGTACGTTACAATCTGAGCTTACCTGCGGGTGATAAACGGCGGAACGAGGGGAGACGCATTGCTATCGCGATAGAATGCTCGGCGGAAATTGAAATTTTGACGAGACATAGGTGCCCGAGAGAAAAGCCCGGAATCGCACCCCGTTCACGAATATAAGATCGTACGTCATGGTCTGATCTCGCGCGCCACCAACACGTTCTACATCGATAACTTATTCTCAATGATGCCCGCCGTCCATCTGGACCGGAACGCTCCGGACCGGATCGATTTACGGCGGGACAATAGGTACGTACGGATTCGTGGATGTGGTCACGTGACCCAGACAGTTCCGGAACATTCGCTTTCCGAATCAAATGCGATAGCGAAGAGCGGAGCGGCTAGGGATGGGACGGGGGGAGGGCGGGGGGTAATACAGTTCTTGTCGTTAAAGACGATGTGTTTGTTCGTACTTACTCTCCATGAAAGAATACGTCGCTTTAAAGCCTCTCGAATGGCGGGACGACGTTACCCCCTGAAACTCCAGAGAAAGCCGTGGACCGTTGCTCATGATAGGCCGCGGCGGTGTTTCCCCGCAGAACGAGTCTATCTTGTCCTTCTTGCCGTCTATGTGCACGTATGCCACCAACGAGTCGACTCCCTCGCAGCTGCAACGAGAAAAAGCAGAAAAAGAATAGCGGATATTTACTGTGCGCTTCGTTCTTATCGTATTACGAAACGAATTATTTAATTAACGTGCATTTACGGTTACGTTTAATAACTAAAATCTGATACTTTCGAGTACAATAATTATTGCGGAGAGCCAACAATTTCCATAATTTCAATAATTACAGTAATTGCAGATAAAATATCTTTCGTCTCCCTCTCCCTCTCCTTTTCCCCCTCCCCCTCCTCTCTCTCTCTCTCTCTCTCTCTCTCTTGTGCGTGTACATGATTATTTTATCATAATATTGTGTAATAGCATACGAAACGCTGAAAATACACCACGGAAATTTGGTTTAACGCGAAAAATATGACATACGTATGCATGCCAAGTTTTACGGTCGGACGCTCTCCGCTAAATTATGGAGTCCGCGCGGTACAATCGTTTCGACGAGCGCGGAGTTAATTATTTGCAAAAATTATTAGGCGTTAACTGTCGCTTCTCGAGCGTATGACCCAGTTCGGGGTTTGCTCGTGCCCACGCCACGCACGACAGGGCGTTCATCTCGTACGTCACCGTCGACGCGTTACGAAAGATATTCAATAGAGAAAAACTTTTTATTTTCTCGACAAAAGACGCGCGCCACCAATGGGACCCGTATTTCCATTCGCTTCTGATTTCACGTCCCGCTAGAACACAGGAATCAAGATGTATTTGTCCCGGCGCACCGTGGCGTGTACTGCAACACGTTGCACGTTGTCCAATTTTATATTCCGTGCTTACGACGCCGTTGGCAAACTTTAGACGATAACTCGACATCCAGTTGACACGCTCGAGTTTGGACCTTACCTTCGAAAACTCTTGACACGAGAACTCGCTGCGCGGCCCGTCGCGGGCAAATTATCTGTTACAATCTGTCTAGAAACACCGGTGCGCGATACCGTAATCGATTCGCCTCAGAAGATAATCACTTTCATCCGACTGTAGTTATATATACGTTCGTGAAACTATTTGAATTATCGACACAAGAATATCCGGACAATACTGTTCATTTTAGCAAGGGGGTATATTAATTTATAATACGGATAAAATTGCAATATTTCGGATCATAATTCGGAAAGTAATTCAGCTTGATTTGTTACCATTCGGTTACATGCATTTCTTTATTTGTGTACATCTAATAACTAAGTAACGTAATTAATATAATTAATGTAATTAACATAATTAATAGTAAAACTCCTATTTTGTGGGAGGCGGCTGCACTGACCTTGACATATGTTGTCAAAGACATCATTCTGAGTAACATGGAAAAGATTTTAGCCGTCGCTCACTGTTTATTAGCGAGTTATAAACAAAAGAAGTTTCATAAGTACGATGCAGTTTTAATGTTTTTTTTGTAATTATATTTTTAGATATTAGAAGTAACATGATATAATATGAAAGCGAATGGTTTAAACTGTATTTAAACGATCCAATGGATACACAGAGCTCATTATCTCAAAAAAGCATCAATGCGTTGATCGAAATCATATTTTCTTTTAAATAAAAATAAAAAAATGTTGCTTGTATATTCAGTATAATATATTTCGAACGATATTAAAAAATGTTAAATAGTATATATAAGCAAGAGAGGGGCTCCGCCCCTCCCCTGTACTCCCTCCCCAAGAAAATCCTAACCTAACTTATTGCATCTTTATATTGTTGAGCGTGAACGTTTTAAAAATTTTAATCATTTTAACAACGTCCAATAATATATAAAGATGCAATAAGTTAGGTTAGGTTAGGATTTTTTTGGGGGGAGGGGGCAGAGCCCCACCCCCGCTTATATATACTATTTAACATTTTTAATATTTTTTAATGTCATTCGAGATATAATGTATGTTGGAGATATATTATACTGAATATACAATCAATTTGTTTTATTTATAACTGTAAAAGAAAGGTTATTTATAAAACTTTATAATTATATATAAAACCTAAGTTGATCTTATATAATTGTACGTTAAATGTAGAAGCTCGTGAAGTAACATCTTAACTACTTCAAAGTTCAAGGTATACTGAATATACAAACAACAATTGCATTGTTTATAAACAATATATGTCTCTAAGAATGCGAAGCCTCTTTTCTGCTCACATATGTGTAAAGTTTACCTAAATGCATATTATGTCGAGAAATTACGTTTTATTAACCTATTAAGGCCCATTCTTAGACCAGTAGAAATATGAAAAAAGTAACTATTGAGTTTCTGGCATACGTCTAGCAATGATTATTAGTGCTTTAAATTGGTTGAAAAAAAATTTTTTTAAACAAATTATTATAAACGAGTTAAGAAACATTAATTTTTTTTCATTTGCGAGTACATCCATATAAAGATTGTTTGTCATTTTTTAACAACAAATGAAGCGGAAAATCGAAAATGTAACACATGTTTCTTTAATGATTTTTCCCGTAGAATCGGTTGACGTGGTTAGTTTTTCGGAAAAATTAATTTTTCTTAATTCGTTTACAATAATTTGTTTAACAAAATTTTTTTTCAACTAATTTGAAGCACCAATAATCATTGCTAAGACTCATGCCAGAAACTCAATAGTTACTTTTTTCATATCTCTGCTGGTCTAAGAATGGGCCTTAATAGGTTAATGAAACTTTTTTCTTGATAATTGTTTAAGGAACAACAAGCGGAGCTAAAGCGAGGTTGATTGAAACCTTTTATATGTTACTCAGAATGTGTCTTTGACAACATATGTTAAGGTCAGTGTAATTGCGGCTGTCTCCCCTAAACAGGAGTTTTACCTAACCAATTAATATAATTCCCTAATTACCTAATTAATTAATATAATTCAGCATAATATAATAATTTGAAAGTATCAAATAAGCGGTATACATGTTGATAGACAATAAACGTCCAAGGTACATGAAAGGAGAAAATAAAGTATAAATCGAAAAAAATATATATCGATTGTTTAGATTTTATCAACAGATGATGTTCGAAGATGATACTAGGAGTATTATTATTCTCAACTTATAAGTTTTATACAATTTTTCTAAGACTTGATACTTCGTAGCGTATTAAAAAAGTCATGTAGATTTATTAAACGACAGTGATACGATATCAATTTAAAAACAGAAAATATGAAAGTATATTTTCGCTATCTTATGTATTTTTTATTTGTATTATTTTTTATGTATTATTTTATATGTATTTTATATGTATTATTTTTATTACCGCAAAGAGTACAATACGATGCAAATTTGACAACAGATTTGTGCGGTATATGGAGACGATGATGTGAATGATCGACTATATCAGAAGTGGTTTGTTAAGTTTTGAGTATGAGACCTCTCTTTGGAAGATGATTCACGTCCAAGAAATATTTTTCAGTTGGTGACGACCAAATCATCACTTTAGTTCAAAATAAACTTTAGTTCAAAATAAACAGTGCATTATCACAAAAGAGATTGCTGAGACACTCCAAATATTATATTATATTCAAAACATCAATTGTAACTCATTTGTAGAGATTGGAGATTTAAATACATCAATCGATATGATATGTGGCTGTGTTTCATGAATTGAGCGAAAACAAATCGTGTCTCTACTTGCGATCTGTTCTATAAATATAATGAAGTAAGTCGTTTTTGAAATGTCTAGTGATAGCGATGAGAAATGATTATTTACAAAGGATTATTTACAATAAGAATGTGAAGAAAAGATACTAAAAGAAACGAGCCGCTATTAACGCAATCCAAAGCTAGCCTTCATTCAAAGAAAGTCATACTCTATGTTTGAAAATGTTGGAATTGGAAATGAATGGTATACTATAACCTTTTATTAAGTAATGGAATTATCAATAAATACTGTCTGCATAATTAGGCCAGCTGAAAGTAACAATCAACAAGATATGTCTATAATTGACGAAACGTAAAGTTTATCGCATATAAAATGACACAGATGCATATGCACAGAATAAGATTATTTCGACCAATGAGCGTCTAGGGAAATATTATGTTATGCGCTATAAATCAATATGGCTACTTGAAACTCGATGCTCATTGGTTAATACGATCTTATGCTAATGCTATGAAGCTATATTGTTTCATGTGTGATGGACATAACCGTTGTTTTTCGCCATGACAACGCGAGACTATATATACTTTTGGTTACACGGAAGAACTTGTCGGACTTTGGCTGGAATATCTTACCTTACCTATTATATTCTCCTGACATTGTACAAGGTGTCCTATTTTAAATGAGCCAGGCAAAAATCTCGAAAAATGTGAAAGATACTAAGAAACGTTTTAGACAAAAGTTGTATAGTTTCAAAGAGGACATAAAACAACTATATCATTTTGTTTACAGATGTATACAGGTGTTTATAGACGTCATTTTTGAAGTATTCACTGATCATTATTTTTCTTAAATGGAAATCTGAATTTTTTATTATATCATCTTTTTTTACTAATTAATTTTAACAACTTTTGTCTAAAACATTTTTTTATTTGCCTCATATTTTTTTTAGATATTTAAGAGAAATTTAGTAACTTTCTCATCATTTAACTTACGATATCTTATTAACTATTTATCGAAAGAAAAGTGGCACTAGATTTTTTTACTCTATTGGGTTTCAAAAATATATTGTTATAATAGTACAATGAATTTTGTTAAATTGATGATTTTGAAATTTCCAAAAGTCGACACATTATATATTCAGATTATCATATGTTCCTTTTAGTTTAAAACAGTTTGAACGATAAAAAATTTTAACTTTTAGAGATCGTAAAAATTCGCTTGGATAACTTCTTTAATAAAAAGCTGACCCAATTTTACGCTGCTCGCATAATAAAGCTATCTAGAAGATGGCTTGACACAGTCCAAAAAGATGATTATTGATTAAACTTGCGTCTTAATATATTTAATGTTTGAGTTTAACTGCTACAAAAAATTCGAACAAATTTTCCGACTACTCTAATAAAAAACATATGAAAGATAAGTATTTGTTTTA